CATATCTCCTCGTATTGCATACGGAGAGAGGGGGGAAAGGTTGTGAACAGTTGAAGCACGCGAAACAACTACGCATGATGTAGAAGGGACAAAAGGTACAAGGTAAATCACACTCACGTCATCAAGGTGAAGGGATACAAGCCACACTGCGCTTCGTATAGAGAGGGGAAAAGCTCCATGCCAAAACACGCTTTGCGCAGAGAGGGTGGAGGGCTCAAGCCAAATCGTACTCACCCGATAAGGGGAAAGGCTGCTAGCCAAACTACACTTCGCGCAGAGAGGGGAAAAGCTCCATTTCAAACTACACGTTGCGTAGAGAGGATGGAGGGTGCAAGCCAAATTGCACTCATGCAATAAGGGGAAACACAGTGAAATGAAAAGCATGATGCAAACGGATGCAAGATCATTGTTGAAATTGAGCACCCTACAAGGGGGTGGCAATGAACACCCTACCGTGCATAGGGATATGCCATATTGATTAGCATATTACCATGAGCTATGGGAAAAGGTTCAAGCAAGGGTGGCTAACCCCTCCACCTTTGGTAGCTCTTAAATCCCAAGTTCCAGCAGTTAGAACCAATCCAAAACAGTGTACAAATAGCAAGAAAAAGTGAAGAAAAGAGTGGTGTAAACAAAGAGAAAGATGGAAAAGGTTATACCTTTTAAACAGAGGATGTTCTTGGTTAAGCAAACTTGATGAATGCCGATGGATGAAGGTTTTTCGCCTAAATTGGGATGATTTGATTAATGTACACATAAACTCACTTTTTCAAGTGGTACATATTCAAAACACTTTTTCAAAACAAATATGAAATCAAAACATTCTAAAGTGAGCGAATTAGTTTATACTTGTGTGTCTCACATAGTAATGTTTAGCATTAATAAATCAGAACAAGAGCATATATTGCATATACAAATCACATCATGTTTAGTAGAGGTAGATCTTTGATCAGGTGAGTGGGATGCTCAATTCATTACTTTTCTCTCTCATACCTAAGTTCCCGAACCGAGACACTTTGGTGATGACGGACAAGTGTCCTTTGGCACGAGTCACAGGTTTCCTAATTTTTTAAAAAATATTTAGGTAACGACTCTAAAATCTGGCAATACAGTCCATTTCTGGCACCTCTGATGATTAAATGGATTTTTCTAAGATTTGCCGGATTTGGACTCTCATTTGTGTTTATCTATTTCACATTGCACTTATGAAACCAGATTCAGAACCACAAGAGTCCAAACTGTAGGGCTATCATATCCAAGGAGACTAAACCCCTGCGAGGAGCACGAAAGGCAAGCTACACATGATCAGATGTATGATCCTTAGGAAATGTTTTGGGAGAATTCTTGCTTTGTCTTTGATGACTTACATAAGGAATATCCTAAAATGATTCTAGATGCAAAATTGCAAACCCGTTGACTTACCTATCAGTAAAAGCTAGAGCCTCAACTATTCAAATTATCTCTGAGAGAAACAGAGGACTTTTTTTTTTTTTCCTTTTTTTTTGCCGGAAGTCCGCTATGTGGGCGTATTCGGTATGATGAGTGTTATCTTTTGCAAATGGTCAACTGAGTAGTTTAAACCTTGACCTTACTCCTTAAAATGTGGATAGAATGCTATACTAGTAATGTATAAATTTGTCCCTTGTAGGATTCAATGCGCTTGTTGGGCGTATCATGAATAAATGCAAATTGGTCACTAGAATGTCTTTAGAGAAGTAGTTTCACAAGAGATAGTGATCTTGAACCACTTCATGCGAGGCGCACGTGGTGGATTCCGTTGTATATGCTTATCGCAAGAGGTGCTGATAGGGCCTATGTTTGGAATCTTGAATTGTGCAAACTGTGGTTGTGTTTTTCAATCAATCGCTTGTTTTTTTGAGATTATGGGATATTGATGCTATTATGGTTTGTAGCATAATGATTAGCAAATGATGATATCAGTAGGGAAGATTAGCTCACTCACACGAGTAATCGCCCTTGGCGCTTGGGAACAAGCAAGAATGAGAGTAGTGGTTTATTTTATTTGGAGTCAAACGAGGCTTAAATTATCTACTATGTATGTCGCCTTGGTTGTAACCAAGATGAGGTCATGTTAAAGACCAAACATGGATGTTAATACCTACTTTCCATGTTGTGCCCATCATGATTAGCCAGATGCGAGATCTCATTTGGAGCCTGGAAGACAAGCAAATAGAGATTTCGGGTTAGGCGCTAGAAAGCGACTAGACTAAGATTTGTATGGTGTTTTGAGTATGACATCACTCTTTGGAAGAGTTACTCCACCGTAGCAAGTATTCATACTACATGTGCTTGGCGACTATGTAATAAGGTGAGAGAATGGATCATTGTTTCCTCACCGTGTGAGTCTTACATGTCATTATTGATATGACTTTCACTTTCGTACCCTTTTGTGACCTTTGACTACGTCATAAGATGAGGGGTTCATGATCTGCTACTTTGGTATGTTGCTTGCGGTCATGTATGATTCGGCCTTAAGGGACATCACTGGAAAAGCTGTCAATCTTAAACTAAATAGCATGAGGGCGAAGGGAAGATCATCTAGCATTACACCTCTATTGTATATTCACTACCGGAAACTCACATTGCTCTGTATGAGAGGCGGATTGAGTGTGAACATATTGCAAGAATTGAGAGGGTCAAAACATGCTCTTTTAAAGGATTAGAGATTTTTTTGGACAGGTGTAATTAGATGGGTCTGGGGTATATGAGACACTATTTTTATTTTCGGGTTCATGTCTCTATACTGGCTCTTTTTGAGTTTCTAGTGTAAGCTCCCATATGCTGGTGTTCTCAGCGGTCGCATGGTCCATTGGCTAGTATAATCGTGTTTGATGGATAGATTGAGATAAAGAAAGCGTTGTGTCATGCCAATGCATGTTCGAGTGAGAGATGTTGAAAATTGGGTTGGGTTTAGATCTCATATCCTATTGGGTCGCCTATGGTGGCATGACCCAAGACCCATAAAGAGAGACCCGGTCAAAGTGAACTCGGATTAACTTATCCTAGGGATAAGTGTGATTAACCCACTATCTAATCTGTTGAGGAGATAGAGTTGTCAGTGGTTATAACTCTCTCACGTAATATACGTATTATATTTGGAAGAGTAAGTTTTTAACCGTATGGGTAATCAGTATCTCTCTCCCTCTCTCTCTTTCTTAGACTTTCTGTTCTTTCTCTCTTCATAGAAACACAGAATAGCCTTTGTAATGTGAATAGTGTTGATAGTTCTCTACTAGTTCTATTTCACTGCTGGGAATTGTTCGAAGACATCAATAGAGGTGTGTGATTCACTCATACGATCCATGGATTTGGTTTAAGCGTAAAAGGTATGCCCGAATCTGTTTATTTTCGCTGTGTAATATTTCTTATTTTTCCTACATATGCTTCCCCTCCCTATTCGGCCACAGGCCCCAAAAGAAAAACAATAACGTTAACTTTCTCCACTATTTTAATTGCATCTCCATTGCATCTCCATTTTTAACTGTTTGGAACACATTATATCTCTATTTTTCTACACATCTTTTCGTAAAAAGTCAAAAAGTACACTTTTTTAGATCATTTCAAACAACCCCTATGTGTCAAAAAGTGCTCAAATTTATTATTCATGTGTTATCCTTATAAAACATTGGTCTTGTTTTGTTTGATTTGCATAAATTATTTTTTGATTTATTTTTTGAAAAAATAAAAATTAAATTAATTTGATAAAGATAACTATTAAAAAAATATTTTTAAAAATTTTTTTTACCAGCCAAAGAAAATAAATCTATATGAAAATCATGAATATTTTTTTTAAAACCTTTTTTAGCAAATTAAATTTTAATTTTTTTAAAATAAAAATTAAAAATTAAGCCCAACAGAGCCATTATCTTCATATTAGATATAGACCACATCGAATCAAAGGTGGCTCAATCAAGAAAGAAAATTTTAAAAATTCCAGATGTTCAACTTGAGATCTCCAAAAACTTTAGGTCATTAAGCTAATGAAATTACAATACATGAGATAGTAAATAAATTATACTACAATACGAAAACAACTCAAATATTTAAGAGAATTTGAAATTCAAGCCAGAGCCAGCAAATTTTTCTTCCATAAGCTTGTTCATGCGTTCAGGCAAGGAAGGAGCAAGATAATTAGCCCAATCTCCCACCACACCTTTCCTAAAGAACTGCAATGGTAAAATGTTGTCGCTAATACCCCTAATTCTATTGCAAAAATTTTTTTGCGACGACAAATGACTTTTTGCGACGGCAAGAGGGGGGTCACAACTAGGGGCGTTGCAAAAGAGTTTTTGCGACGGCACAGTGCCGTTACTAATGTTTTGCGACGACATTTTTGCATTTTGCGACGGCACTTTGCAGTCGCTAATAATGTTTGAAATTTCTTGACTTTCCGCGACGGCACTATTTTACCGTCGCTAAAAATGTTATTTGAGACGGCAAAAAATGCCATCGCTAATAGTTTTTTTTTTTTGCAACAGCAAGAACACTGTTTTTGCGACGGTGTGGTGCCGTCGCAAAAAGTATTAAAAATATGAAAATTTCTATTTTTTGCGACAGTGTACTGCCATCGCAAAAAGTACTAAAAAAATAATAAAATTTCTATTTTTTGCGACAGTTTAGTGCTGTCGCAAAAAGTAAAACTTGTAACAAAATCAATAAAAATATTAAAATTTTCTGTTTTTTGCAACGGTGTAGTGTCGTCACAAAAAAGAAAAAAACATCCTGCGATAAAATTATTAAAAATATTAAAATTTCTCCATAATGATTTCATAAAAATATAAAAATTCCTGTATAAAAATAACAATTTCTCCATAATAAAATATTCTTCCATTCGTAATTACAGATCAACAAAATTATCCCACTACATAATGTTCCATAATACATATATAATGTTTAAATATATGATTTTGTTCATAATTTAAAATAACATAAACCAAAATTAAATGTTTTTCTCATCATTCTTCGTAGATAACAAAAACAAAAGTTAACCACATTCTCCACAGGCATGCATTCCACAAGAAATACACTCCTACATGGGAAATATCTGAAAAAATAAAAATAATTAATGACAATATAATTATGTGTTAATGTTAATTACAAAAAAACATAAAAATTTTACTACTATAGCATCAAATACAGCATTTTTTTTTGTTAGTCATCAAATCTCACATGGATAATTAAACATCTCAATCAAATACAAAAATAAAAATTTAACTACTATAGCATCAAATACAAAAAAACAAAAAAAAGTATATCTGAAATCTGGCTCTAACTCCCAACAACATCAAATACAACATTTTTTTTTTTTAGTATCAAATCCCACATAGAGGTGTAGATATATCCTAGACTGAGCTATATGCTACACAACAAAATGTAAACCTCTAGACCTATATACAACAGGTATTTTATTCGTGGAGTTCCATAACTATGTTAATTTGTGGTTAAGCAAGCTCCAAATGCTCTTTTGGAAGAATCAAATTTTTATACACTACTCAAAATGGACTTCTTAAAAACATAGTTCTTTCTAATGTTGTAACTACAACCCTTTATTCATCAAATAGAGGTTAATATACAACCTTTAAATAAGATGACAATTTAAAAAAATGAAATAAAAGAGCTAGGAATAAGCAAGAAAGATTTTTAACCCCCAACAGCATGTTTGATGGGATCAATTTGTAATGTCTCTAATGAACGCAATGATAATTTCAAATTTAAATGGCCTTAAACATCAATCAGTGAGTCCAGATCAAGTTTAAATGAAAATTTAAATTGAAGAAACAAAACCACTTACAAACTTCAGAAGGCTATATCACATTTTTTTATATAACAGCAGCAAAAAAAAGAGGAAATACCATGAAAACAGATATCTCTCCACCAAACATCTCATCCAAGGACACCGCAAAGATGATCCGCGATTTTAAAACCCTTTCCCATAAGAATATATTTTCCATTCAATTGCAATCAACACATCCTGATTCAGCATATTAAGAAATTTCCTTATTGTCGTCAAATAGATTACTAAATGACATGGGGACAATAGTAATACATACCAGGTATAGTGGTGTGTAAGACATGCTCTTTTGACACAAATTCCAAAAAGAAAAACAACAAAAAAAATTTGACACATAATTTCCTCTTCAAGTTATCACACATGTTAGTAGTGGCAAATCAAAGATGTTGAAACTTGGGGTTGTCAATGGTCAATATATAGAAAAAGCAAACATAATGTTTCTAAATGTTTGAATGAATATATGATATCTCATAAAATAAAAATAAAAATACTGTAGAAGTGAGTAGTATTCATAACTACACAAAATTATGGAGAAATTACTGTGTAAAAAATTTATGACACTTGCTACACTACCAAACAGATACAGGCATTAAAAAAAATTTAAGATCATAATAAACAAAATATTTGTATGGTAAAATCATAAATAAAATCTGTCTCTTGTAATTGTGTTTCTCCTACCCACTGTTTTTTTTTTTTCTTGGTTTCAGTGAGAGAAACTACACTAACATTTCTTAAACACCCATTATTATTACCCATGAATCACCACATTGACGAGTTGCTTGAGGGAACAAATATTTGAGGAAAACAACTTTTTTCCCCCAAGGGTTTTGTCGCTATAGGTTTGGTATTCATAGAGTAATTGTTGGACAATACTAACCTTGCCACAGGGTAGTGGGTTAGCAATATATATATGAGTGGTGATTATGTGTATCATGTGTGCATCGATTCTAGTAAGAGACTAAAAGAAGCTTGATCATAAACATGTTTCACAATATTATGTGGCTGGCTAGTAGCAAAGGTGTAACTCTAAAGTGAGTATGTCTGGGAAAGTCGGACTAATAACAAAAACACTACAATTATGGTGCAACAAACTTATTGCAAGGATCCAAAAATATACTAGAAAGAGTAGATTTCAGGCAAGTTTCAAGTATTTTCCAATTGTATCATACAAAAATAATTAAATAAATAGCACCAAGGGTAGAAACAATAAAGATAAAATTCTAGTATGTATGTTTTTCTCAAGTATTCAAAAGATGACAGTGAGGGTGTTAATAATTAAATATTAGGAGTCGTTAAAGGGACAAGCAATACTTCTGTGGAAGACAAAACTTGACTTTTCTCCTGAAAACAAATTCAGGCACCAATTTAAACAGAGAAACAAAAAGCAAGGTACCCTTAAAACTAACATATCACAGCAATTAATACCTGCAATTTACATAATAGGGGTGACTTGTTTAAAGAGGCATCTTCAAGAAAATTCGCACTCGCTTGGAATTCAGAAAAGCTTACAACAACTGATGGGATGATTTACTCTCTGGAGCCTGACCACTGAGGGTGAGGCCTTTTAACCCAGCTACCTACCACCCACGTACACACGCGATGGTCCCTGGCGATATGTTCAGATTTGAGGACTTCCTCTTGTGGCAGCGCACCTCACACCTCCCTCATGACACTTCTGAGGTAAGAAATTTTTCTCATTTTATGCACTTTGCTTGCTTTTGACATTCATTACAATCTTTCATCTTGCCATGCATTTAACAAATTCTTTTTTCAACACAGAGTGACGCTTATGCCTGGAGGGGTTACGCCGCGGTAACAGTGGGGGATTGGTACTAGGAGATCCCCACTCGAGTCTAGGAGATGGTTGATAAGGTAGGCTTTGGACTATTCTGTTCCAAGCTTTCACGGCTATAGGCAAGCCGACCCTTGCTCTGTGCCCTAGTGGAGAAGTGGTGGGACACCACCAACTTCTTCCACTTCTCCACTATCGGGGAGATGACGATGATGCCCTACAACTTCTCCATGATCACGGGCTACTTGGGTCCATCTTCTCGGAGCACACCCTCCCTTGGATAGGCCATCCATGGTGTACTATAGGTGGTTCTACAACCATTTCTACAGAAGTCAGTCGGAGACTGAGGAGTAGATGGAGCAGTACTGTAGACACCCAATTTTGATCGCCCTTGAGACTTGGGCGCCCCACATTGAACACTCGATAATGAATTATTACGCTGTGCAAATCGTTCAATTTCTTAGCAAAAGGTTGCGATTTTTGAGTTTCAGAGCCTAAACCTTGCATCCTCTTTGGACCAAAACCTAATTTTTTTTTTCTAGCCTAACTACTTAGAGACCTGTTGGCCAACAAGTGGCCGGCAGGCCTTTTTTGGTTGGCCAGCCGTCTTTTTCTATGGCCAGCCGGCCATGTTTAGCGGCAGACAGATATTTTCCAACCAGTTGTCCCCCCATGTGCTTGTCTTGCACTAACTGGCATATTACAAATATTTTTGACGTGAGATGATGTTTTTTATAAATACATGACCATCCCTCATGGTTTTAGGTTAGAAAATTTTGCCAAGAGCCAAAGACTTGCCAAACACTCTTCCTTCCTCTCTTACAATATACATACACTATATATACACTTCCTAAGTCTAAACTTGAGGCTTTTTGCTGATTTTCTTGAATACAAATTTTAACTCTTGAGAGTGTTCAACTTGTGGTTTGTGAACTAAAGAGCATCCTCTCTTTGAAAAAGGTATACTTTGAGCTTTTATACCATCTTTTCTATCTCTTTTCTTTGTTTTTTCATACTATTTTTTAGAGTTTTTTTTTAAGCTCAAAAATGTGATTTTAAGTCACAAAAAAGAGGAGGGGTTAGCCATCCTTCCTTAGGCTTGTTGATTGTCTGAAACCCCGTGGCTCTAACCCATTTTTGTTCACTTTTTCCACCTCAAAAACTCAATTTTCAGCACTATTTTTGGGTTGTTTCAGTGCTGTTTTGTGTGTTAAATTATGATTTAAATACTATAGATGTGTTGTTGTAAGTCCTCATGGATATAACTTTCAATCCATTTGAGTTGATAGTCTTTTCTTGCACTTTCTTATATCTTTCATACATGTTCATACAATTGTAATCACCTTTGCATAATCATCTCTGCAACCTCTATCCATTCTTTGTTTATTTTGATAAAGAGTTGAATCAAACAAAAGATTGAAGATCTAAAGGGAATTTGTTTCAATTTTCCTAAGAATGTGTTGCTATCAAACCCTATACCTAAGTCTATAATGGAAACAAGAATCAAAGGCAAAGAATTTGGAAAACAAGTCAAAGAGAAACAGAAAAGAGCATGATTCAGACTCAAGAAAGCAATAGAAATTCAAGAACACAAAGTAAGTGTGTACAAATACGCAAAAATCAAGAGTAGTGGCAAATTGTTAAAGCATCAAAATTTATAAACACTATGTATGTGTGTGCAAGAACCACGAACAGTGTGTATAGACATAAGGATAAACTGAGTAGCACAAATCACAGACAAGCACAAGATTCAAAGCATAGCGGAGAGTCAAGAAACCAGAAATGACTCAATGATGACCATAAACGAAAAATATAATCAGAGGATGAGTAAGGAGATCACATAGCAAGAGGCATACAAGTAATTGCATAACAATATCATATTCAAAAATAGCGAAAGACTGAAATTGAAGAGAAGAAATCGGAGGACTTACCGATTGAAGCCAGAGTGAGATACGCTGGACAACTTGAACGATTAGAGTCAAATGATGAATGGTGCGCCGGCGGTGACGGAAATGGCCGTTGCAGAGCTTGAGAGCTTGAAAAATGGCGGTTTGGAATAGAAATGTTAGAAAGAGAGAGTCTGAGAAACGAGGGAAATTGTGAATTGCAAAAGTGAAAAGGCGGAGAGGGAAGGAAAAGTTTTGTTAAATATACAAAAAGGCAGCAAAACATAATGGGATGCCTTGGACGACGTGCTTATCAGGAGGCATGTGCAGAAGCAACGCAACCTGATGGCTCGTGTCAAGTACGAACCAATGAGAAATGGACGTGTAGAGGAAACGGTTGAGTAAATCGTGCTTGACAGCCCATGCGCAGTCAAAACTCTTGGAGTTCTTGATTAAATGAAGCAAAAACCTCGGCTAGAGGAGCAATCCTGATTGAAATGCTTAACGAACAGGGTTCTTCGTTTTTTATCCTTAATGAAAGTGGATAGTTGAGTCCTGGGTACTTGAAGCCGATGAGTAATGATCTCGGTCGTGGAGAATGAATGAATTTTAGCCAACATAGCATATGAACAAGCGATATAGGTTCCATCACCTCAGATTGCCGAGGTAATAGAACCTAGGGGCAGTTGTGGGGGCATATTTTGTGAATAACAGCACATGGCCAAGGTGCCACATGGCCTGGTTATGCACCGAGGTGATCTCGGCTAGGCCGAGGTTATCTGCGGGGATGCCGGAGTCTGAGATGACCGAATAAGGGACAAAAGTCCTAGAACAGGAGAGGATCTCAGTCTGGATAAAGATAAAGCTCTTATGGAGTTTATCCCTATCTAGTTGAGAGTTCAGGATGAGCATTGAGCCTAAGTCCACTGTATTGAGGCTTCTACAGGGATCAGGTCAATACTGGCTATAATAGCAGGGCACCCCCGTGGGTCTAAGGTAGGCTTTTATGTGTGATATATGGTGAGCAATAAGTCTTTTCTTGTGAGTTAAGCACAATTTACTATCTTTGAGAGATATTTGATTACTGACTTGAGCGCCGGAGTACTGCTGCTGGGTGGACGAACCACCGCTTGATTCTTGTCTTTCTGTGATAGGTTATTCGGACTTAATCTATTCTACCGGTGATCTCCAACTGAGTTCTCTGTATGGTTATGTAGTCAAAAATCAACACCCACAAATAGAATGAATCACTATAATCTTTCATTAGTTTTATGGTAGCATATGATACTTATAAAATGAAGTTTTTCATTCCATCATGATCTAAAAGATCCCACCAACAAATAATTAAAATTTGTTATGAGTTAATAGTTATACAAACCATTTTGAATTTTTATGATGAATTAAAATCTCAAAAAAAAAAAAAAAGTTTTTATTTCTTGATCAAAATCCTTCCACTATAATCCAACAAAATGAAGAAACCATTTAATATAAATTTTTCTCACCGAAAAAAGAAAAAAGAAAAAAAGAAACTATACATATAATTTAATGAATTGAACACAAGGATCCTACATAGAAAATGATACTTGCAATAAACACAACATCAATAACAAAGAAAAGCAAATTCCCAACAACAAAACCAGCACAAAAGACAAACAAAGTGGTTTACAATACTCCTTTCATCATCCATAATGACCAATGTCACCAGCTTGCATAACATGTTTAGAAAGAAGGTAGCTCGCATTACTGCATTTTTTGCTTTTTACCTTGATTCTGGTAACAAATATTAGTAAAGTATTTGGTTTGAAATTTGAGTTGTAAGATTTACTGTAAGTGCTTGTAAAAAAGTTTGATTGAATATAGTTAGTAGGCGTGAAATCTGGATTGTATGATGTACTTACTTAGTATTTGGTTTGAAATCTGAGACACTGCAACTGCTTGTAAAAATGCTTGATTGAATATAGTTGTTTCACTTTGGTTAACATTCTCCCCTCCCCTCCTTTTGTTGTTGTGGTTAGGTCACTATTGACTGTTGCAGTGCAAGAGGAGGTAGTGTGAGGAATGTAATGGTGGTCAGGAATGTTGGTTTTCTTGACATTTTGGGAAGTAAGAGAGGGAGTGGCAAAGAAAAGAAGATATTTGCAAGGCCACAAAGGGTGAAAATTTGTCCCCAAATAGGTATCCTATTAATTGTGGTCACCATGGCAGTGGTGAACCGTGGATGATTTTTTAGTTTTTTTTTTTCTTTCTTTGTTCTTTTTTCTTAATACAATATAACGAACAGAAAGATCATACTTAATTTTTGTTGTGTGAATTTTAATGACGGTAATTGAAAATATTGAAATTGCTCAAAAATGTGGAATTACTCTTGCTTAGAAGTTTCCTGTTTTGACTTGCTTCTAAGGTGAACAAACAATATTGAATTTAAAAAGCTATTAGATTGAGGGAGTCAATGCGTGTGGCTTGGGATTGATTTGAGGGAGTATTTGCATTGCAAAGCGTTTTTAATTTCAATTGTGATTGATTTAGGTTGGGTTAGTCTACTGTAACATTTTGTAAGTTGAAATTTGATATTCAAAAAGTAAAAGTTACAAATATTCTTTTCTTAACTTTCAAATAATTAATTTTTTTCAACTTAAGTTATTTTTGTTCTAATAAGTTGTAGGTAAAAAAAATACTAAATAATCTAACACAGATAAGATTCCTTTTTTGTTTTCTTTCTCACTGTAACGGTTTTAATTTATTTTTGTTAAAAACAATTATGAAAATGGTATTACTTGACGTACTATTCAATAATTTCATTGTCAATGGTTTGAATTATTTGATTTGTTTGAATTTTATAATTTTGTTGTGAACATTGATGTATTGGATATATTTGTGTGAATGAGTGCTTTATAGGCGCACAATCATATTAAGTGTTTTTTTCTTGGTTATCAAAGCTGTGATCTCCCGCCTCTCTTTATTGAATTGGTTTGTTGTGAATTGGGTGTTGCCTTTTTTGAATTGGTCATGGTATGTTTGGCACTTCTGTTTCTATTCTAATTTGTGAAATATCTTTATGTCAACAACATGAAAATATATGATTGGTTTAGATTGGAATCAAATTGTGTTAGGAAATGGGTGGAATTGTTCTTTCCGTTTCATTTGACAGAAGACTATATGTGTGTTTTTAAATTTGTCATGGACATTATTGATTGACACATGAGAGTGATAGCTGTGGATAGTTAGGTTACTTCAAATGCACACATTTCTCCTCCTACTATTGGGTTTTAATTTTTTATTATTTTCTTTTTGTTTTTTGTTTTTTTGGTATTTTTGGTGATATGCTATTTGTGTACTAGATTGAACTACCATTTTGTTCATTTGAAAATAATGATTCATCTTTCTTCAATAAAGATTTAAGTTTCCGTGTGTATACACAAATTTGGTTGTGTTTTGAATGTGTACACTTTTATTTGTTAGGACATATTTGAAATAAAGTATATGAAGTGAGTATATATGACATTTATTATTATTTTTAAATGTATAAACTGAGAAGAATGTGCACAGAGTGAAAATAATGTGCAAAAATAGAAACTCCCCCAGCTCATGACTCTCTTTTTTGCTTTCAGTTTTTGCCCTTTGATTTGTTGACATGAATCATGATATATTCTTACCTTACACTTGTTTGGATATATATATATATATATATATTTAGGCTTGCTGAAAGAAGAATGATCTCTTTTATTTTATATGTTTGGAAAGTACCCTCTTAAGTCGTGAGTGGCAGTTTTAAAATTTTATTATAGATTCACAAAAAATATATATATTTTTTATTATTAATATTTATAAAAAATTATTTATTTATAATTATATTAAAAATTTAAAATTTACTCTTAGAATTACTTTTTTGTCTCCCTTTTTGTAATAGGAATTAACTTATTTTAAGTTGGTCTTCTCAATCGGAGAGAGCGTTTGGGCTTGGTAGGCCTATGTAGGGATTGATTTCAGTAGTCCAAACTGTTCACATTTTATGACTTATTAAGTAAAATATTCATGTAAAAAATCAAAATAATCGGATATCAGTAACTATATGTTTGAATTGCATTTGTATTACAAAAAAATAAACTAGAATTCTTAAAATTATATTTGTCGTCTGTTTTTCTTAAAACAAATATAATTTAAATATATAACTATTGATATACAATCATATTGATTTTTTTTTTTTTTGCATGAATATTGTTGTTAGACATATTTGATTTTGATGATTGTTTTTGTTTTGATTTTGTTTTTGATTTATTTGAATGAGTTTAATTGATCAAAATTAATTTATGTCAATGCTCTAATTTTGTTGTTTTTGAGATCAACACAAAGCTTAAACAGACGTTGCATCAAACCCAAAACAACAGCAGAACAACAGTAGTAGAGTAGCAAGCCAGGAGGCCAAGCCGATTGTCACCACCCAAACCCGCCCCTAGAGTGGGATTGTTACACCCACTGAGGAGCGGTTGACTAGCCGGACGACCGGTCGGCCAACCGGTCAGGCCAAATTTTGGCGATTTTCTTCTATAGCTTTGGGTAGTTAGGGACATCTAGGTAGATGACTGGCCATTGCATCTTGGCCTAGTTTCACTCCAGATCAGTTTTGTTTCGCTCTGGACGTCAGACCAGCAGTATGCTCGATGACCGCGGATGACAACCTTGACGATCGAGGACTTCACAAGACATCCAAGCGAACGTCCTGACGGACATCTAGACGGACGACCCATAGACTCAAAGCTTTGCTTTGGACATCCGAGCAAACATCCCTCTGTGCAAAGCAACATATATCAGATAGTTGCTGAGAAGAGAAAAGAATTTTTTTTTATCAATACACCCATCATTCAACGAAAAAAAGTCAGAGTACTAGGCTTTCATTAATCAAAGGGGACATATTGAATTATAATTGGTTAGGGAGTACAAACACGTAGTAATCCGAAAAGATTGAATAATTTCCTAATGATATGATCCTACACATACAATTTAGATTTTACATCATAAAATTAGTATTTCTAGTATTTTTTGGATTTAGAACTTGTTTGGCATCTCTTAAATAAGTGAACTTATTTAGATTATATTACCTTTTTACATTTTTATAAAAAAAAAAATTAAAAAAAAAAATTTATTTAAATCATCCCATTTAAGAGGTGTCAGTGTAATTTACCCTTTTTCAAGTGTATATACGTGCATACAGTTTTCATTAGATACCCTCTGTAATTAATACAAAAATGTTTTAGAGCTCTAATTAGGGGTGGGTCCCATTGTAACAGTGATGTTTGTGTGTGTTTTTTTTTTATTATTATATATTTTTATTGTTCATATCATTAGAGCTCATTAAAGCTCCTTCATTTAGGAAATGTATCATTGTTGCAATTAATATTAATAGAAATGGCACCCTCACTTTCTAATAATTTTACCAATTAAATTCAACTTTACAAAAGACATTTGAGTGATTGATAGTACTATCTTCTTTTTGGATAATGTTATGGAAAAATTATTGGTTGATTGAGGAATGCTATGTGATTATGTCTCTTATCAATCACACTTTACTATATTTTCTCATATTATCTTATACTTTCTAATCACTCAACACAAATTCATAAATTTCGTAAACTCAAAAAAATTACTAATTGTCAATTTGTAACGACATGTAAAAAATCATGATAAAAAATTATTTTCAATGATGATTTTACTATGACTTATTTTTAATAGGACTCGATAAGACTTGATAATTTATCCCTAAATTATCCCATCAGTGTGATTTTAGATTTATTAAAGAGTGTCAATGTAATTTACTCCTTTTCATATACGGCTTATTTTAGGAAGTAGATTAAAAGTTGATTTTTTGATTTTTTTTTTAAAAAACATGCCAAAAAATAAACAGTTTATGTAGTCTAAAAAAGTCAAAAAAAAATATATATTTTTTAAAATACTTATTTTTAATAGGACTCGATAAGACTTGATAATTTATCCCTAAATTATCCCATCAGTGTGATTTTAGATTTATTAAAGAGTGTCAATGTAATTTACTCCTTTTCATATACGGCTTATTTTAGGAAGTAGATTAAAAGTTGATTTTTTGATTTTTTTTTTTTTAAAAACATGCCAAAAAATAAACAGTTTATGTGGTCTAAAAAAGTCAAAAAAAAATATATTTTTTAAAATAACTTTTAATCATCTTTCCAAAATAGGCTACGTGCATACAATTTTCATTGGATACCTTGACAATTAATATTAGGAAAATATTATGGATCCCAAATAATCTATCAATTTTTTGTCAAACCTCTCACATGAGTGTGAGATTCACACAAGCTAACACATGTGTCTGTCCCATACCCATGTGAGAGATTTGGTAAAAAATTTAATAAATTATTTGGGATCACTAGCATAACTTTTAATATTAAGGGGTGATTTAAAAAGTTTGTTAAAAGCTGACTTTTTGATTTTTTTAAAACTTTTTTTATCCTTTTGTATGTAATAAATGTGAAAAGTGATGCGACTCAAAATGGAGTAAAAGCTAAAAAGCTAACTTGTAACTAACTTTCCAAATTGGCCCTAATAGATGTGGCCCCTAGGGATGGCAATTTAAACCCGGCCCGACGGGGACCCGATCCCCTGACCCTGATTAGAACAGGTTTTTCCTGAAAATTATCCCCATAGGGCCGGGGATGGTATTGAAAATTGAATCCTTGATGGTTTTCGGGCCGGGAACGAGAATAGGTTACCCCGACCACGGCCCCAGCCTTGCCCCGATTTATCCCCGCATAAATCCCTGAATATTCCCCATATATATATGTTATTCTGCTGCCTCTCTCACTCACCTAATTCATTTCATTTCTGAGTCTCAACCTCAGCCCCTCTCTCTCTCTCTCTCTTTACGCAGGTGGTCTCACAAGGCTCAACCTCAGCCTCTCTCCCTCTCTCTATACGCAGGTGGTCTAACGGCATCGGCGGTGAGCGAGCTCCTCTCATCACCGTCGATCGTCGTCGTCCCTCCATCGCCGCTGTCCCTACTCCCCATCGCCGATTTGCCGTTGTCCGTTGTCCCTCCTCCCCATCGCCGTTGTCCTTCCCCCCATCGCCGTCGTCCCTCCTCTCCATCACTACCATCTCTC